CGACTTTTTGGTTCACCAACCGATGATCATCTCTTATCGAGGGATCTGCTTTCCTCAATCCGCTAGGGCTGTTATTGGACTGGGACTTCCTAAGGTCGCAGTCAGTGACTTGTGTTTGCTTGCCATTGTGGGCTCCCTGCGTACTCATGACACTTTTATGCGTGGCACATGTCGTTGAAGGTACATTTTTGCCATTTAATCTCACACCAGACCCAGTATGACGGTCACTTTGTGCCTGATGTGCGAGTCTTGACTGTGCTAGCGCACACTGCGCCTTGAAGAGCATTCACCATTGTTTGTCCTTTCTTTGGCTGTTGGTCCTTAGACGCGTGTTCCCATACCAAAATCTTTACATACTTTGGGATTCACCTCATCAGACTGGCACTGTCCTTGGCATGATTTCGAATGAGACGTTTCTCTCTTTTCTCCCATATTCTCCTGTTACTCTTTCGCATTCACCGCTTGCACTCACTTTTTATGTTTGTGACCATGCTCTTCAAAAATAAATGATAAAAATACGGCGAATACCTCTCAGCTACTTAAATATTGTAAGTAGTTCACATTCGATCCGATATTCGGACTTCAGCACCGTAAAGCACCGTGAGCTCTTGTTTTCATGACGTTTTACCAAATTTTCACGATCACAACAAATTACCTAGTCCATCAAGAGAGAGTCAGAATGCGACAGGAGAACAGCGATTCTTCAGCGCATCGCGAACAGCAACAGCTACGTTAATCATACGATATAAATGCTTTTATTTTCCAACAAAATGAACAGGCAGCGAAAATTCAACTCAAAAGTATCGGTTTATTTACGAAGGTTCCTCAAATTTTCGCGAAACAATAAATTCGCACTCTTGCGGAGGAATAAGGAGATTTCGGAGGGAGAACGTGAAACTTGAACTCCCTCGAGAAAATTCGACCAGAGTATTGCACAAGTCAAAATTACACCAGTGAACGCTATCATGGAAGCTCACTGAGTGATTTTCACAAATAAACAAACAAGTACGAATATTTCAGCCAGGCGGTGATAAGCTAAGTCAACCATTGGGTTTCCTGACATTACCAACAAGCGCCGCATTGATTTGTAAAATTTTTCGTCCGGCGCCCAACGACATTCGAAGAACTTTTGTCGTACATCTAAGGATCACGTTCACACAGTGGGCGACAGCGACGGGCAAACGAGATATCTCCTCGGTCGGTCGATAAGCTTGCTTCTGGGGTGTTCTGATGGTACACGCGAGTCCGGGTATGCAAGGGCCAGCAAGCAGGCGCAAGTGACGTAAACTAGTCACTCTCATGCTAGTTTGAGGCTCTCCATTGCTTGTGCCCCAAGACCCAGTTAGGGCATAGAAGAGCCTCGCTCAAAGCATGAGAAGCACACCGAAAACTGAAAAACCTGACATCAGGCATAAAGGCTTAACCACAGCGTGATGTTCACCAGAACGGTTTATGGTTTATAGTACTAGCAACAAAACACGTGCATTCCTCATAATGGATATATACTTTTGTTTCGAATATTTAGTTCTTTGGAAAGCATATCAAGACCGGAAAATAGACAAATTTCGTAGGAAGAAAGGCATTAGCCTCAAAAGATTGCTTGTGTAATGGAAAACTGAAAACACATGTCATGATTGTTTAAGGCCAGGGCAACCGATACTGTCTGAAGGGCTTAGTCGAGTTCATATGTGAAGGATATAAAATATACTCGTCAACATGCGCCTGCGGCAAATATTCACACTGGCTAATTGATTTATTCGTTGTATACTTTGAAATGCTAAGCTGGCCTGTAGGGCAGAATCTGTGCACATTCCTTGGATCTAAGAACCCACTGCAGAGCTGTCCGTATCAAGTAGTTTAGGCTACATTCACCGCCGCTGTAACGCACAACTGAAATTCTGAAGTAATTCAGCTTGATGCTACCTCAATACATCTGGTCTTGTCTATCTACTGAGTTGATTTACGCAAAGCAGCAGGCAAGGCGTCCGTGGAACCAGCACCACGCAGGGCACGATTTTTGTGTGTCTTATAGCCAGCTTCAAAAGACTCAGTACCAATCCCAAGATATGGAAGGATGATTAACATCGGATTCCGACGGGTCCAGTTACGAATGCTCGCTTCACCTGGACCTATTTCAGCGACAAAATGGTGCGAACGATCAAATCCAATTTGCCTGCTCAACGGCTGTACGATGTGCAGCTCTTGGACAGTAGACCGCATAAGTAAATCAGCGTTGAAGCAGAAACTTCCAGCGAACACAATCGACGGAAAAATCTCTAGACCAATTTGAAAGGATGCTGTTGTGTGCTAACTTGGGCCGCCACACCATACATGTAAGCAATCTTACGTGTGGCATCCTGCCAATCAGTTTCGCGGAAATCTAAGGAGACAAATCCAAAACTCGCTTCACGAGACGCAATGTACCATTGCTGGCTTAATCAGATGGTGCACTCCATAACAAGGAGATGATCGGACGTGGCTTTCCAGGATCACCATTGTTTTCCTCCACCTCTATCATCTTCCACGTAGAGTGATCGGGTCGCACAACCGTAAAAGAGTAGTGGAAGTACTTGGGAGATGCAGAACCTACTCTCCACCACCAGAAGAACGTAGTATTGTTGACAGGATCGGCTGTCTTACACAAGAACAGACCAGTTCTTCGTTATCTTGAACTGTGGTTTGTCGGTAAGAGAGAGAAAGTTGTTTCTGGTAGCATTTTATAGTATGTGCGCATGAGCTCATGACTAGTGCAAAATGCTCCCTGTTTGCACTGCGGTATTCATTTTAAACAGTCCACGTTAGTCTTCTGTAGAGTTCGTAAAGACGCTTTGATCGTCTCAACCTTGCAAGTTTATTCGTCTGTCCCACGCTTATAAGCGTGGGGCGATGTACGTTCATGTTACAGGAACAGAAAATAGTCGGATGAGTTTAGATCAGGTGTACCCAGGTGATGACCATTGTTCAGGTCCACATCGATCAGTCCTTGCACAAAGAATTCTTCATCAAGCAAACTGCAAACGTGCGGTGCAAAACTTGCTCGCTCCTTAAAAACGTGGGCCAATTAACCGGGTGCTAAATATTCCGCCAGGTGTATGGTGGTATGTCTTGATTGACTTGGTATTCTCCTGTGCCAAAATAAGCACAGTTGGTGCTCATCCGTCGAGATAAAACGTCGACTCATCAGTAAACAGCGCGTCCCGAACATACACTTTTTTAACGATCCAAAACAGCTAACGACGTTTTCTGTTGATAGTACTTCATCCCCACACGTGTTTTACATTATGTCGATTGAACCCGAGGCTCCTCAGTATCGCACTGGTCGACCGGAGTGAAATATTCCGCTGGCACACCAGACTTTGAATACTGATGTGTTGCACATTCTGTAAACTGTACACGATATTGCATAAGCAGCACATGGGTCCACCAGAGTATTTTCAGTTTTCAAGTAAATTCGTGCTGTGGACTCACCTGACAAGCATTTGGACACTTATGTGTCACTGAGACCCTATTCAAACGTCTAGTGCTGAAAACTTTCGTTGTCTATGCTAGAGGACAGAAGGTTCTGAAATTTTATTCGGTGAGCAGCGCGCCTTTACAGAACATCGTTGTGCCAACCGATCACATTACGTGTACGATCACCTCTCTGTCATGCAGTGCGACATCTGTTGTGATCCCTGGCCAAACCAGCAGTGGTCCAGTGATTCACTGGAAGTTTCTGCTTCAACTCTGATCTACCTATGCGACCTACTGTCCAGAAACTGCCACCAAACAATCTTTGATCATGCTAGCTGGATTCGATACACCAGTTCCTGCAATTTCCTAGAGTGGCCACTGCGTAGGCGACCGTATTTCAGGTGCTGTATTGATCGAGATGAATGTGAATAAACAGTTTAGTGCGCATTCCTACAGGCCCCACGAAAGAAGGGAGCCAAGACTATAAGCAGCTGCATTTGAGCAGTACACTGTCTTCGTTGGTTTATCAAGGCCCCTTAACATTTGTCCGTCGTATTCCATATTGCACGAATCGCTCACATAAGGTGTCCCCAGCGTACTGCTGTGTAAGCCGAGGCACAAACGTCCGAACTGACAACACAAATCGATCGGTTTCGTACAGGGATGCGGCTAAAGGGTCAACTACCTATAAAAGTACTCCAAATCAATATTTGAAGGCTTCTATTCTTGTCCTTAAGCTCGACATCGCAATTCGACTAAAGTTCACGTACCGTACGTGATAGCTTTTTAAACAAGATGTAGACAACGCACCCAGGTTGCGATGCCTTCATAAAAATCCTTCCGAATAGGTAACACCCGTATGAAGAGTACAAGATAGTACTTTCCACAAGCCCAAAACAAGCTTGGCCCTGCCCGAAAAAGAGATCGTCCCTCAAGGCAACCGAAATAACTTTTTCGCAGTGGTCTTTCTTGCGTGATGGCAACTGCATTACTATGATCTAACACTCATTTTGAGTTAGGTTCAAGCCAAGTATTGGTGCATACTGAAATGTCACATCTGTAAACCGATAGCAAGAATCGAGAATAAGTTCCCAGAAAGAATGAGCACAACTAGGGCGCTCAAACGTGTGGCTGAACCAATACGGCCGCTTAGCAACCCTAAATATACAGCTCAGAAGAGCTAGGATGACCGGTGAAAGTGGATCTTTTGTAAACAATATATTCCCACAGTAAGTGATGAAAAGTTGTACAGAATACGTAAGTTTCATCTCAGACGTGAATAAAAGAGTGACACAATCTGATTTGATGGATTAAAGACAAGAAGTGGCTAGAAAAATAAGGACAATTATGCTCATTTGGAGTTCCAGGGCATTCCGATCGGGTCGACCCGTCGATCGTTCATGTGTTCCCGAACCACGTGACTAAACTCTGGACATCCGGCCAATTCATAACCCACGGATAATAAGTGCTTGATTCTCGAGTTGAATACAGTAACTTGATTCGGTTTGATATCTGAAGGATGTAGAAATACGTAGTGCAGTAGATAGTAATAATACAGCGTCAGTACTACGGATGTCATAATTGACGAATGAGTGGTCCTATGGATGCTAATGTTGGTATTGGAGTAGTCTGTGTGAGGATTGTATCAGTCCCCTACCCTTCCCAAGACAGGGTTTTCGCCAAATGATCTGGCTGCTATAAGACAATAAGTTACTGGTGCTTAACAATTTTTTGGTGTCCGGGGAGAAGACAACGCAGGTGGATGTCGAGATTTCTGCTGAATGTAGTATAAGGAATGGCTAACATCAGCTGTAGTGGATAACTAGAGGATGATACTGTCCCAGGGCATGAGGATCCCACTGAAAACGAGAGGAACGATGAGCGGAAAAATTTTGTATGAGCAACTTCAAGAGGAGTTTGCTCAACGTTCTTTGGGCATGAAGTCACAAATCAGAGGCACGCTAACGACCAGCTACCATTGGTTGGTTTGGAACTCGTGCATGCTCAGCTTCAAAGTCCAAAAGCAGTAGTTGGTGGTCACTCGAGTTGGAGACCTGAATGAGGAAGCATTTTCGTGTGAGAAACCTATAGTCAAAGCAAAGGGGTGATTCAGTGAGCAGAACCTGGTAGAAGTGCCATTCATTGATTCGACGGAGTACGTATGGACAGGATAAAAGCTGTAGTCATGATGCTCAAACAGTAAATTCCGTTCTTAGCAAAGCATGGCAGGAGTTCCGGGCGTACAAAGTCCAGGAACACTGCTTCTTTTCGAGTGGAATATTTAGCCTTGTGAAGGAGTTAGACTTCAAAGTGGCACATTTCAGATTGAAGCTCATAATTCGTTGATGGCTGATCTTTGATCAGCTCGTGTGATCTCAGTTAACCCACAGATTTCGTCCACAGCTCTTCCATTGAGTAAAATCAAACCGGGTTCGGCGTCGAAACGCGATGGTCGGTATGAAAACCAAAATATGCTCACAGCTGGGCGATTTTAAATCAGGATCACCTCAACCATACCGTTCCACGCAGCGTTTACCTCTCGTTCTGTGGTTTACGTTTGTGTAGTGCAGGATTGGATACAACTTATCCCTTCACGAAGATAAAAACCAACTTAAATCAGAAACATTTTTCGGGCTCCCAAGAACCGTCACTTTGTCGATTTTCAACCATTCAATCACACAACTAGTGACAAATGCTATATTGGTTGGGTTATGATCCACGGCTCCTGAAATACATGCCTGATCGGCTCGGAAAATTTCATCAGTTGTCTGCACGTCAATTGAGGGCACGGAGAGAACAAGCGTATGCTGTTAAAAACACACATGTGCCACTCTGACCAAGAAAAAATCGTTCAGCTGTAGCACCCTTTCGGTGCCTAATTGCCATGCAACCAGAAGGAAGCACGAGGGCCGGTATACTGCCAGGTTTCCCAAGCCTAGACAGGGGAAGTCAAGAGGCAGAGGTCGGATTCGAACTACGGACCTTCGGATCAGTAAATTCGCGTTCTAATCACTTAGCCATCTCGCCTTTCCCCCCATTATCAAGAAAAACCAGATGTGCATATCTTGGTAAAGTTTACCGAAGGCTTCAGGATAAAAGCTCCGAGTTACTGGAAAGCAACCTTAACTCTGAGTTGGAGTGTTAAAATGGGCCACATTATTGGCTGATTATATCGTCTAAACCAATGTGGATAGAAATGGAGAACCCAGGAATTGAAGACGGCATACATGTCGAGGAATAGTTTCAAAAATGGTTTCCGCCTACCTTTTGTTCTAAAAGCGAGCAAAGACAGGCCAAGCTCGAGACTCTGTCCATAATCTCCTTCGTCACAGGCGAATTGGGCATAAGTTATCAGTTGATCAACTGCCTCCAATTTTGCCAATTGTGACTCCTCAGTCTGTGCGGTGGCAACCGCCTTCAGTAATGCGGACAGTTTAGCTGTAAGGAAAAGGAAACGCACACCTTTGTGCACAAGGCTGGAGATCACGAAAATTTAAGGAAAGGAAAGCAAGGGGAACAGTGAGACACATCAGTAGGCGAGGGCGGAAAGTGAAGTGCAGGCTACAACTGGGTACTGAGTGTACAACAGCCTAATACTTCGGGTCGTACATCAGTATCCGTCTGCGGTCTCCCAACTCATGGCTGAAAAATTGATTATTTTCGACTGCTTTATATTACAGAGCGGCTAATCCTAGGTTTATGTTTGAAAACCAGAAACAATACAAGCTGCTTAAATCAGCAGAAGAAAGTATGTAGTGCGAGAAGAGCAGGGGGTTTTCAACAGAGATTACGTCCTGCGAGGGAAGCCAATCTATGCTGGAAAGCCAAAAACCATTGAAGAGCTGCTTCATCTTTATTGGGAACCATCATGAGTGTTCATATCACCCGACTCGGGTACTCGATCTCCAGGATGGTAGTTATAACACTCAACAATTCGGCCATAAGCGACTGATTAGCAGTGATTAACCTGCGCTCAGACAGGACGTAGCGCCAACTACCACATCACGTGGTCACAATTGCTGATTGGTTCTTCGAGGGATAACTTCTCGAGTGGAAGGTTCACTCATCGTGTGAATTATTCTCCCTTATGAGCTACTTCTTTCAGCCGTAGCAACCTTCCGAAGCCTAGACAGGGGAAGTCGAGAGGCAGAGGTCGGGTTCGAACCACAGACCTTCCGGTCAGTAAATTCGCGCTCTAACCAATTGGGTCATCTCGCTACTTAAGGATTGTTGGCAGTGTGAAGAGATTTGGGGATTTTCAATGGAGATTCCATCCTGTGGGCGAAGCTGATCTGTGCACAGCTGTCATCCTTATTGGGAATCACCTACAGTGCAGGTCTCACGAAACTCGGGGAGGCAGGATATAGCAAAGGACCAGCTTAGAATACAGAAGCAAGAGTGGAACTTGAGACTGGAGAGAAAAGCAGTCGACTCAGAACAAGCAGGCCATCAATGGACCTGTGAAACAGCCTGTTTAAATGGACTCAAATAAACTTGGTTTCCGTCGGTGGTACCTAAGCAGTCATCCTTTGTGATAATTGCGTTTTATTCATGCATCGAGCGAACACCACAGCTGATATTGTTGCAGTCACTGAAACTTGGCGACTGGACAGGTAATCAACATGTTTTCTGGACAATAGATGGGCTACATGATAACTCCTATATTTTTTTCTCGACAGTATGACGTGAAAGGAGCCCATAGCGGTTCTTCGGTAGTATACGACCACCTGTGCTTCTTAAGATCTGCGGACCTCATACATACATTGTTATGGAGTGTATTCCGATTGGACCAAGGGTGGGTTTATTAGCAAATAATGCCACTCGTGGTCAACAAAATAAACGTACACTAAGATCATCCTATTCACTAGTGACATCTACATAGGTAAGGTCAGGACTTACAGTCGGTTACAGAGAGAGGTCGGTAGCCGATATCCCCTTCTCTCAGCTTGACAACAAGACCCATACCATTCAGGGTTGGGCAAACGCAACGTGCACGTCGCTCCGATTTTTCTAGGAAAGCATAGGGAGTTGAGTGAGTCATACCACGCCCTGTTTCATCCAGAATGATGTTATTTTGTTTTGCAAAGTTACACAGCTTCTTCAGAAGAACCTCCGCACTGGCAGTAGGCTTTTTGCTCAACACTGATCTATAAGATAAGGGTAAGGGAAAACTTGTGCACATCTCACTTCACTGCGGCAAACAAGGTGGGAGCAACCAGATTAAGTTCCCCGCCATTAGAAGGCTCTGTTTTTACGACGACTGCTGGTTTTTCAGTCGGAGTGTCTCTGCACAGTGTGAGATAAGTATGGAGGTAATGCTTGTACCTGAAGTATCCATAATGTAGGTTGTTCGGTCCGGTCAGAAGTGTAACTAACTCTGGAGGATCGTGAAAATATCGGTGACATAGTACATATCGCCCAGGCTCTACGGAGCTGGAGATACCTAGGTGTAGGACTTCAAAGGGCCCAACAAGGCGCAGCTGGAGGATATCCATCAAAGCACCTGTAAAACGTATATACAAATGACAGTCACAGACCTAGGGGGTCTTTCGCATCCAAAGTGGTGCAAAACTGATAGAACTTGACCAATTCATTGGGAGAATCTAGGTAAAAGCCCTGCTTGATCGCCATCAGGCTGGGCAAGAATGAAGAGGGAACAGGTTCGGTGATCGCGTCCATGTGAGGAACTTTTGGCTTTGCTCTGTTGTCCGCCGCCACGTCGCTTTTGCGTTTCCTACGCGCGGAGTGTGTGTCAGGCATCACTGAGCTCGGGGAAGAGTCTGGAATCACAGTAAAAGTGATTTAAGTAGGAAAATGGCAACTTATCAGTAGTATCTGACTGGTTAGAGACTGCTTAGTCCAAGCACAAGCATATCTGAGAAACCTGTGAAGGGACAAGAACTCGAGTAAACTGCACACGGGCGACTATGGTCATGGTTGTGGTGTGGATGAACTTCATTAATGTAAAAGAAACCAGATCCTGCAAGTGTCTCGATGTTAATTACAAAATCGGTAAAAATCGTGGATGACCCCTTCTTGGGGCTCATCAGTAGGGTCAAATTCCAGGATTTCCATCAAACTTATGTACAAACAAGGTACTTCGTAGATATGGTAACAACCATTCAGGGTGTTGCGATGAGAGCTGGTATGTAGGAAAAATAGATCCTAGTTATCAAGGAGTGAGGGGCATTCCTGATGTTTTGCTGGAGTTTTCAAAGCCTATGCATACTAGTTTTACAGGAATTCGGAAAACGGGACATAGAATGACCTGTTTCCTCCTCCAAAGTGGGCTTAAAGACAGACGTTTTGCTGCAAGTACGAACGTATACGTGGGGTTCTTCGCTGGTTCCTCATTGATGTGTGGACTCTTTACGCCGCTAAGCAGTCCTTTTGATACTGACTAAAGTGAATCTGGAGTGACCATTGCCGGGATCTTCAGTTTACTTTACATACTCTCACTTCTGGTTGAGGTATAAACCTATCAGAAAGGTTTCGGAGGTGTTAAAGACGTCACCCTTTAAATCTGAATCTGCCCCCACCTGCAATTGGTTTTCCGAGTCTTGTGGGTAAACCTCTGAATTGCCACAGCTGCCTGGGTCGAGTATCAATAGATATATCTATCGTTTGATCTATCTCTACATCACACCTATTTGTGACCATCCAATGTTCCTTCTTAGATATCATCTGGTCTCACTATCTCTGTCAGTTTCCTTCCTTGGCTCTTCAATTCCAAACTGTTTTACTGGCCATACTTTTGGTAACGCCTTCCATAACAGTTGATATTCTGAAAACTTGTTACTTTTGCGCATGGTTATTCAGCAGGCCTATCATTTCCTCAGATGTACGATTCGTATGCGAGCCTTTAAACGATGCTGTTTGCTGACGTTCTACATGCTAAGTCAACGGGCTTCCTTGCAGTATAAGTTGAAAATGGTCCGGAACCAACCATTGCATGAAGGCTACATGCAGCACACACTACCACCTTTCTAAGCAATGCATCGTTTAACCCACCCACGGAGGCATCGGAGTCTACATACTTGTCTAGCTAGGAAAATAGCTCGAAACAAAGACCGGACTCGGGAGGCTTTTTCCTGCCACAATTGACATCGTTACTGATACCATTTGTCATTCATGAAGTAGACAGTCAAACGCATCCAAGAAAACCGAATGAGAAAGATTATGTGTATCACTTCTTGTTCGGTAGTGCTTCAGAAGTTCAACACCTGTCTTGAACTTACTCATAGCCGGGGAAAAGCGATTTAGCTCGTTTGATCTTAGCAAACGTTTTGGTCACCATCGTGTATCTCAACCAAGCGCCTAATAACGTCTGACATATGGCTCCGAAACAGCGGGAATGATTTGGAAAATTGTTCCGGATTCCCATATTACATCGAAATGCGCTTACTCATCACCTACGCCAACGAGCACTGCAGTCCCACAAAGCAGCTCTTGGAATTAACTCATCAAGCCATTCAATAATGGCCCATGAATAGCGCTAGACCCTGGGCACTTAGCAATAAACTCCAGGCAACCTCTGTCAAGAATCAACAGAAGGCACGCCGTTCCGGCTTAGCGTCACGAGTGCTTACTTTGTAGGAACTACGGTTACCCTAACCGGAGAACTGTAAAATATGGCCACTACCCATGTAGTCTCTAAACGGTGAGACATATTGCTAAGTGAAGTAGGCATGTTTTGTACTAACCTGTACGAGATGGCTCAAGTGGTTAGAGCGCGAATTTACTGACCGGAAGGTCTGTGGTTCGAGTCCGACCTCTGCCTCTCAACTTCCCCTGTCTAGGCTTGGGCAACCTGGCAGTATCCAAGCCCTTATGCTTCCTTCGCGTGGCATGGCAGCTAGGCACCGAAAGGGTGTTACAGCTGACTGGTTATCTTATCTTTATTTACTAACCTGTACGCTTCGAACCAGCCACTTGTGCTGAAATTACAGCATTCAGTTCGCTGGGTGAATATGGACGCGTCCCGTGTGCTTGCCATTTGACCAGAAAGTCGCATCCCGGAAATTTCCCAAGGCACACTAGAATCTCTACAAGAGATCACTCCTATTGAGTGTGACAAAATTTGTGGTTAGTAGTGTCCTAAATACTTCACTTTCCGGCAGCTTCCAAACCATAAAAGTTCGGTCCAGGTGACGGTAGGAACTGTCCGTATCGGTCGAATGTTTGAGTGTAAAATCCCATTCGACAGTGGCATTCCTTCAGCGTGAAAATGCTAGACAAGGAGACCTCAAGCCAACACAGAAGCGGTCGAAAATCCAGAATAAAGCTCGAACAACTTACTTACTCGCACGCCCAAACCGTTGAAATATCTCGAACGCTCTTGAGTTTAATTGATCTTACGACTTACTTCTTGTGGCCCCAACACTATTCATCCCCATAAGATGTGCCCTTCTGGTAGTGGACGGAAACGTTGTGAGCAGGCGCATTTAGCCAACTCAATCAGCATGGCGGAAAATAGACCGATGAGGTTTGAGGTTTCATGTGCCTCTCCCATAGATAGGCAATTAATTAGGTTCTCCACTCAGTAATCCTTGGCATGCCGCTGCATGAATGGAACAGAGTTAACTCTGCTTAAGATGTGCACTCTAGTGATCTAGAAATGAGTTGAGACGGCCATGGCTAGTTTACTTCTCAGTCACCTAAATAATCTGTACCCTGTCATAGGGCGTTGGATATCTCCAATTTTCAGTCATGAGTCCCATGTGTAATGGGTTACAAGAGACTTGACATGAAATATATTTAAGCGGATGAATGTGTAGCACCTGTGTAGCACGTACATGCAAGGTTACAGCCGGACCAGAACGAAATAGAAAGTTTAACTGGACTACAACACCATTCTCTTTTAAAAGAATCCTCACAGCAAACGAATCCAATTATGCGCAGGTCCAGGCAACTTATGATACACGTCAGTTGTGGACCATTTGTGTTGACTAATGTGAGTTCAGAAACAAGAATAAAATGAAGGCATCAATCTGAGAGGACAGTGATGACAACAAGGAACAACTGTTGAAATCCAGGGAGGGACAGTATCTGTTTTACTTAGGGGACTTTTAGGAAAAGTGGAGGTATTAAATACTCGTCTTGCGTCATTTGGGGCCTGACAATAAAATAAACTGAAAGAAAATTCAAACATGTTCCTAGGTAGGTGCGGAAGTGATGCGATCCAAGAGTTGTGAACGGGGTGCCGAAGTTTATTTATCCCTGAACTTACCAAACTTCGACCAGCGAAAGGAATGACAAGTAATGCCACGAGGTCTGTTTGATTAGAGCTTAGGAATCTTGGAATAAATTATCAATTGCTATGCGTAGCAAACCGAGTAAGATCGCCTAGGCAACGCAATAACTATCAAGCAGGACAGCAGTATGGGCGGAAAGGTGACGTCATGGACGAATGGAAGGATCTGAACTTGAAGATTGACGGGTCACGGTCCTCATGCGGTACGGACTCTTCAACTATTTTTCATTCGAAATATTTTTTGGTCTCTCCGAAAGGACCTAACACGCATTGGGGCGGAGTGAACCTCATAAGACAAAAAAGACCAATGATTTGGAAGGAGAGGAAGTGGCAACAACTCTGTTATTAAAAGCAGCGACAGGTACCGGTGGTCCAGATAAGGTCGCCCAATCCCAGAGTGGAAAATCTAAACAGCCACCCATTCTAGATGTTCCAACTAACTTTCCTGGCAGGCAGACCATAGTACCCAGGAGATAGGACAACACCTTAGGAGCCAATAATCAAGTGGCCGGTAACAATTCAGGAGAGACTGTAGTTATGACAGTAAGAATTGTGTCGACTTACAAGCTGGGGCGAACCGCCATGAGCTTGAAGTCGGAAGGGAATGCAAATGATACACACAACAACCTGGATAAACTTGTCTGTCGGAATGAAATGTCGGCTAAGCCACTGAGATATGGCTCAGCACAGACGACGTCAACGCTGTGTGCCTAGAATGCCACACGATGGAAGAACAGGCAGAGGGATACTAATTCATGACTGCAGGTGGCAGAAGTGTGACGGTCTCTTCTCTTAACATCAACAACAGTGCGTGGAGAAATATGTGGTGTGAGGGTGTGTATTTATGTATATTTGTCAAGAACCTAATGACCCAGGACCTGAAAAGCTAGACCTCTTTGGTCTCACTGACCAACTCTTTAATTGTAAAACCAGAATGGTGGTACTAGACGACTTTAATGTTCTACGGATCGAAATTATGACGGGATTACGTCGCTCGGAATTTTTTAAGATAAGACTCGGTACCATGAACACTGCCACTACGTGAGAGAGCCAGTCGGCCGACTAGTAAAATCAAACTCTTTACTCTGAAGTTTCTGAGAAGCACCAGATGACGAAAAACCATCAAATAACCCTTGCACTCTGAAAGTGCAAACGAAACAAGGGATCATCTCCAACGTTCTGGTTAGAGTGCTTTGCGCAAAAGAATAATTGTCAAAAAAAAAAAACGTAAGCCGCATAATCAAGTCCATTAAGTGTCTCCCCGAAAAAAAACGTAAGCCGCATAATCCAAGTCCATTAGTGTCTCCCCGGAAGTGATTTTGATACCTAATTCTCAGTCCCTTGGAGTGTGTAACGTCGATGAGAGAGTGGAAAAAAGGAGATGGATTGTTTTGACAAACTCTGCTAATGTCGGAGAGCGCCTAGGCAGCCTACCCTGAGTAGAGGCATCGGAATAAAGGGCACGAAGCATATTTACAAACTTCATGAGCATCTCCTCTGGCGAGGAATGTTTAGGAAACCTAATTAACCCTATCTATCTCACCACTCCACATAAATATATTCGTATTTAGCTTTCGTGAAGATATGCGGGTGCGAGTGTGCTAGTCTTGTTGACGTGATCGTTTTGGAAAACAAACCCCAGATGATGCTAAGCTCTTTCGTCACTCAAAGAGTAGACACGGAAGACCGACACTGTGCTTTACCTCCAGATCACCTCGTTCACTATGCTCGCATCCTCAGAATACTTTGAGTGTTCCGACTAAAACGGAGTGTTTGAAACCGGTTTTCCAATCTTTCAGGTAATGGGATGATTTAGTAGCTGGTGTAGTATGCACGCTATGGAGGCACTAGAGGTCAGTGATTCTTCGAACGCGAAGGTTAACAACAGTTTCTGTGGGTGGAAAAGACGAAGGAAGCTCATATGCCGAAACCCAGTAAACAATGTTGTATGTCACCAATACTTCACACAAACCACGATACCAGACATTGTACACTATACTGGTAGTTGTCTGCTTATCTCCCGAATACAGGCAGCTGACGCAGAGGGGTCAGGACAGTCGGAAAGTTCGCTTACTTAACCATCCTTCAAACTCATACATTCAACGTGCCATCAAACCAAGAAAGCGCATTCCACATCTTAAAATCGAAAACCAAATGCCCCGCCGCATCTGTTGGGATTAGCCGCTGGAGCGACGCGAGAGCCCATATATACTCCAAGCCAAACCCAAGCGAGTGATTGGTCCAGAAATCGTCACGTGACGAGCGCAAAGAAGGCGCCATGTGACCATCAGTACTCGGGCTTACGAGGCCAAGCGGATTAACTAAAATTTTGGGCGACCTCCATCAGTAGCTTGTTGATCGCCAGAGGAAAGCGGTACATGAGCCACCTTTCGAATCCGGGATCTGTGACTTGTCGCCTTTCCCACCTTTCCCCCTCAATGTTTAGATGGCTAGGTTAATGCTAGTTATTTCGTTTCTGGAGATATATATATGTTGGCTTCAATACTGTATGTAATACATGATGCTAGTGACCCAATCAGGTAAAAAGAACATTCTGTTGCGGCAAACTCAGACATATTTGGTGCAAAATGTACATGGGCAATTAATTTGTTCAGGCTGTGACCAAACCAGCTGGGGCAACTACGAGAGAAAGCCTTGAATAGGGAAGTTTCGGTCTGATGGCGAGTGGATCTTTTGTTTTAGACGTAGACTGGTTTAAGCCGCAGATGCGTACATGTTCAAAGCAACGCATCCCAGGGATTCCGTGCAGGTGGGCAGCTAGACCGCTACAAGTAATCGTTCTGCTGTCGTTTCGTCTGCCTCCGGGCCGCGATAGATTCTTCCAAACCATTCTCTAATTCCTGTAGCTTTGTTCATTTCACACGATGGGCTCATTCTAGATTTGAAGCGTCCGTTAGATATCTATTGATTCGAAACCGACGTATTTTATGAAATTCATTATGCCTTTTAGGTGTCCGTGAATATTATAAAAATGTGGCGTTATCATCACTTGCGCCACGGCGTGCATCTCATGCACTTATAGGGATGAGTATTTAGATGTCAACGTAATGCCAAAGATGGCGGACGTCTCCGATTGTGGACGCCGTGGTTGAATTTCAATCTTGGATACGAAACTTTTGGCATCCACCGGAAATGAGCTATGCATGTCGTGAAACCCGGGTGGTTGTTTCAAGCGCTATGGGGTACGCGTTTTTATTTTATGTATGCGGCCGAAAGCGGTTTGGATGGCAATAATTTGTATGCTTGTAAGGTTTCGTCTTTTTTGAGATTGCATGACTACCACCGGGCGAGCCTGTTTTGATCTCCGTTCACACGAGTGCGCGACTCATCGCGGTGCTCGCTCGATACGGCTGACTTGAGCACGCACGACGCATGAGGGGCATCGATGTTGCTGGCATCTGTAGGCCCAAAGAGGGATATGTATATTAATCAGTGTGGAATCGTTTTTATCTGATGTGTGTCACTTAACTTCTGACCCAAATACTGACGTGAAGACATTATCTGAAGATATTTATACTCTTTCTCTATTTGTTTTGTCCCAAAATTCGTCACATGTTTTTAAAACGTTGATATCCGTTTCTGGTCAAAAGCATGACTTTATTGT